CAACAGTCGGTTTATAACAATCTATAATAACGAACGAACGTTAACTACAACAATACGTCTCTCTCTGACTGCAGTTCAATTACTCACTATCTATCTACCCAGACACGTTACATTCCCCTCTTTTTTATACCAGCCTACCCCATATCTAGCAAGAAGTAGAACATTCGCCAAAGTACATGATAGTTCTAGAAACAAGATAGCGTGAGAATTGTCACGTGATCTCGATGACGCAACAATATTTTGACTGCAAAATCGGGGATAAATATTAGAAACATCATTGTGAGCGATTCATTCAGCATAATCCAATACTCTCCTTATAGTAAACAACAAAACTGTTTTCTGTCAGATTGTAAGTGATGTTGGTTTTTGTAATTTAAAACTAATGCACTTTTATGTTTTCAAATGAAATAAAAACCATGAGGCCTAACGAAATAACCCGTTTAAGTCAAGAACGTAGAATATTAAGGAAGTATTCGTATAAATTCTGACGTCGTTAAAGGGACGTTTTGATAACTAACCAATCAGATTGAAGTTTTGCAGTAAGTCCATGAAAACACAGGGCTGCAAAAGGTCGTCTGGTAACGCTCTCTCTCACTTAAGTCCTAATTGATCATTACATAAGGTGACGTAATTGACAAGGAGATAAAGAAAACGTGAAAGAAGTTTAAAAAAGGGGGGAAATGGTGCAATTACATTTCTTTGGTTAATATGGGTAGAAGAGATGAAGCTTGCAGTAAGTTTTAGTTACTTATAGTTTGAATTTAGTAATAGTTATTATTACAGTTTAACTACATATCATTTTAGATATTATAGTTAACCAAGTGGTCACGACCTTGACATATTTCAAGGTAAAATAACTCGGTGCTCTACATTTATTAACCTTTCAGTAAACATACTTTCGGTTTAGCTACATGACTATCTTCTGCATTTTTGACGCATTCTATTCACATACACAGGGATTTCAGTCAGACCGCTTGTCCTCTAACGTATGTGAATGTATGTCAGGTAACTAAATAATTTTCGTTATTTTTTCGTTACTATCACGGTTTACATTTGTTTTGTTTCTGTTGTTTTTTTAGTTAGTTATACATGCTAGCAAAAACGACGCCCTACGACGTGTTGTTATGTCTTTTGAAGTCAAACTAGTTCGTTATAGTTTACTATACATTTTATTTTCGTAGTGAAAGCTATACATGGATTTCTGACATTTTGAAACTATCTTCATCGACCTGTCATGACTCAGACTGTGAATCTGAGAGTTCGCGATCCGCACTTTGAAATTGGAAGTGCAATATAAAAGTCGGTAAAATCGCACTATTTTGTCAGACAAGAGTAGCCAAAGACTTGGCGGAGGATGCTGTTAACTTCGCACTATTCTGTCAGACAAGAGTAGCCAAAGACTTGGCGGAGGGTGCTGTTAACTAGTTGCTATTCCTCTTATCTATCAGGTTAAAATTGGAGACAGTTATGTGTAGATATTTAGTTCTTTTGTAGCTTTGCGCATAAAAACTTCTTCGCCACAAGAAGTGAAAGTCTCCTTCTTCGGACCAGATATGATCTAATGGTTAGCATGTTGGGCTGTTTATCAAGGGATCTGGGGTTCGAGACTTGATGTTGCTGAGCACCATCCACACTTTCAGCTGTAGGCGCATTATTGAGACAATCAATCCTGTTTTTGGGATATGCCAGGACTGGATCAAGGGATTTACGGTATACGTCCCGTTGCCGCAAAAATGATAGAACGAAACAAAAATTATATATTTTCTGTTGGGTAACAATATTATAAACCAGAAAGTTCCAGCACTTTTTAATTGTGTTAAAAATGAATATATAAATAACTGAACAAAAAAATTGAAAACTAATGAATACATAAAACGGAAACTAATTTTATACTACAGTGTGCATAAAAAGTATTTGTGTGAAGATGAAAATAAACACGAACTTCCTGAGGAACTTCCTGAATTTATTTTATTTTATGTTTAATAGCATCCATTTATTTCTCTTGCTATTGCGATGTTTGGGATTATTTGATTTTATGGCAAGAAGATAAATCTTTGTGGATATTTGCTTTTGAAAGTTAAACAAAAACGCATTCCAGCAAAAAACCTTTGTAACAAAAAAAAATACCGGATTGATAGCAACTTTCCGAATCTATAACGTGATATTGTACTCTGTTAAGTCCCATTTCTTGTGGTGGCTAGCTGTAACAAGTAGCATCACGTACGTCACACCATGACTTCATTTGGGTCAAGTACATAATTTTGAAAAATCTTAACTTTTAGTACAGGTTAAACACGATGGGTATGATTTGTAACATTAGCGTATTCATTACACCTTACTTGTTTTTAATTAGTATATGTTACAAAGCGTTAGTATATTTTACCAGTATAACAGTACACGTGTAGAACTTGGAAAAAAATAATTCTGAAAAAATATTGTTTGACTGATGGCAGCGTGAAGGCCAACCTCGTCCGGTAAATACCTATAGTAACTGTATATAGTGTTTCAACCTTGAGGAGTCCATGTTGTATTTTTGATTATCCTGTAGTACACTATTAAAATCAAGTATTCTTTGTTGTTTTTTAAGAATTCATGCCCAAGAAACTTGTGGAAGACGTAATGCACTAGTCCGCTAATAACCAGTTAAAATATCAAATCTGAGTTATTTGTACAGGAAGTAACCTAGGAATTACCGTTATGATTAAACATATCGGCCTGGGGCAAGGGAGTGAGGTTGATATTTGTAATTAACCTTGGCCTGCTTATCTAACATCAGGAGAGGATGTCTCCTACGTAGGAAGGGGGAACTCCGAGATCAACTAACCACCACACGAGTAAGTTGTTGGTAGTGATATAGGCGTTCGTCGCCAGGTGCTGCAACCAGTTCTCGCTTTCGTCGGGAAACGACGCACGTGAGGAGTTCTGATTTGGTGTAGCTGACTGTGTGTTTAGGGGACAACATGATCAGCTGTATGGTAGGACTTGCGGAATGCCCACCCTACCGACGGCGGAGGATATGGCGGAAAGTAAGTTTGTTTGTTTTTTTTTCCTTCACAGAAAGCCAATATTTAAATTTACGTCTAGAAATATCTTAATTTGATGGTAAAAGAATCGCCTAACATTAAGTAAAAGTGTACCATTCTTGCCTGTAAATTAGGGCTTAAATGTTTTTAAAATAAACATTTAAATGAATTATATTTTGTAAATAAAACAAAGAGTAATAAAATCTTGCGAATTTAAAATGCTAATTTAAATCTTTAATAAAGTTTTGGACTTTACTTAAATTTAAGAATATTATAAAGATGTTAATACATGCTTCCCGTAATAGAAAACAACAACAATGGAAACGTCTGTTTTTTTTTATATTTTGTATATACTGTATTGCCCCTAATTAAAAACCCCTCCATAATTATCCGTATTTTTATAAAGCTTACTTTGTGTGATAGTAATAAAACATATAATCCACTTTTATTGCCGTAATTTTGATTTGAAAACAAAAACTTATTATCATTGACATCAACAAATTACGTTTGAGAAATTAATTACCCTTTTGCCGTTTGCAACGCCCAAGGGGGCGTTAATTAGGGACAATAAGCTATTAACTATTACACAGCTTAAGGCAGAGGCGAAGGAGGCAAATTAAAAGTGGTGGGGTAAGCTTTAATTGTCTGAAAGAATTATGACCGGGGTCCAAGGCTCGCCTTAGTGCCCTGGAAGCTCTTTGGATCTGGATTAAATTTTATATATTCACTTGCTTTTCCAGAAAGTAACTTACCTAATTTATATGCATTATTACTGGAACAGATTTAAAAATGAGCGTTCCCCCACTTCCTACACCACTAACTTCAGGGAGTTTTTTTTTAATTAAAACTTAAAATGAGGGAAGTAGGTTTTCGTGATATTAAGATCAGTTGCATAAATGTTTTAATTTTATGTGAAATTAATGAAAGGATCAAACGTCTCCAACACAGACAAGTTTTATTTGTTATTGGTATTGTTACGTCAGCGAGGTCACATGACTAGTATCACGCCACCCGTTTTCTAGAAATATCCTGTTCCTTCGTGAATGCCCTAGCATTTACTAGATTGGGGGTAGTCTTGTATATATAAGATGGTCACAACGTGACGGGATAATGTGTGTAGGTAATGAGTAATTGAACTGCAGTCAGAGAGTGTATAATTGAACTGAACACGTGAGACGTTATAGCGTTTATTATAGAGCGACTGTTGAAATTAAGTGTATCGGTAACGTTGTATTCGGAAAGAATAAACTAGTTTTATTTAAGAAAGGACTTGTGTCGCTAAAGTTTCGTCGGAAAGAATTTACGGAAAATTAACTAACGAACGGAGACGTAACAGTATTTATGTAATAAGAGTCTGAAGTCGGTGCATGATGTAGTAGAGTATCAGTATTTTTGTTATTATTTTACTTTAAGAGTAACCTTGAAAAACGTATCCAAGTAATATAATCATTGTTGTATCATACGTTTTTTGTCGTTGTTTTCTGATGGATTTGTGCTTACCATTCATCTCCAAAAAAGTATGATATTTCATAGATTTTACAGTAGATAGCCATCAAAAGAAGTGAAATGGTAATTGTTTGTCTTAAACCAAAGTTGCTAGATGACTTTTAATACTGAAAAAAGTATAATTTTAGTTAGGTAAGAGCCAAAAAACAACAATTTTAAATGCGCGTCTCGTGGCACAAGGCTCAGTCGTGTAACGCCAAGAAAGTAAAACACGAGTCCCATTTATTTCTAGTCCACACTCACACGCAGGTTTTGTAAAATAAATCAGGTTCTCTCTACAGTAATATTTTTAATTTCACATCCGTTCAAACAGGTATATGACGTATTGTTGGTATAGTTTACACCTTGCATACATTATTGTGTGACACATTTCGTTGGTGTAGTTTTCACGTTGCACATTTTACTGGCGACACTCGAGAGAAGCACTTTGAAAAGACGGTCTGCCGTATAAAAAAAAAAATTCTGATTTTGAAATTCAATTATACCAAAGTATGCAAACTTAAGAATGAAGAACCTCGTATTCACATGTAGGCAGTCGCCTCATTTTTTACACTTTCCTTTCAAATCATAACTGTTTTTATTCCACTTGTATTTCATTAAAACACATGAAATAAGTAAACTTCTTGTTTCTCGTCGTATTTATTAAAACCCAGAAATTCTCTTGTCGGATGTAGTTCGTATAAAAATAACTTTAACGATCATATTTGTGTCTATATAAATCCATCCCCAACATTTGGTCAAGAATGTCGAAACGTATAAATTCAGATCAAGAAAGAGTTAGTTAGCAGGAAGCATCTGGATGGTAGATTTAGAAGCTTCCACGTCTGTTCCAGTATCGCAGGTGCGTGTTATCCAACTTGCTCATCCTCAGAAGCCTAGTTTAACGATCATATTTGTGTCTATATAAATCCATCCCCAACATTTGATCAAGAATGTTGAAACGTATAAATTCAGATCAAGAGAGAGTTAGTTAGGAGGAAGCATCTGGATGGTGGATCTAGAAGCTTCCACGTCTGTTCCAGTATCGCAGGTGCGTGTTATCCAACTTGCTCATCCTCAGAAGCCTAGTGCGCTGCACATTTGATATTGTCCTGCTACAACAATTAAAATGGATAGCAAGTACAGCTTACTTAATCTAGTTCACGTATCCATTTTAGTTGTTGTAGCAGGAGAGCCGAAATATCCCCTCAAGATCAACAAGTACAGCTTACTTAATCTAGTTCACATGATCTTGAGGGAATATTTCGGCTCTCCTACTGCAACAACTAAAATGGATAGCAAGTACAGCTTACTTAATCTAGTTCACACCACAACAGCCGTTGTTCGTGAAAGTTGGTGATATAAACAGCCCCTGGACCACTATTGTACAACGTCGTTAGTGTGTCAGCCGGCCTTGATGAGTCCTGGTATTAGCCGAAAAGCCTCGTCGGCGTTGGATACGGCTGGTGTAGTATGATTGGCTTAAAATATTCTGCTTTCCTTTCACTCATAACTTCTTAGAACAATATTCGCCGCTGTTGTAAAGTGTATCGTTCGTCTACGAGCCTGGTTCAGCTGTTCAAACAATGTACTGTTTGCTTCACTCATCGTAAAATGAAAACACGTACCAGCATGCTCCAACACTTAGTTTTACTGGGTAATATATCAGAAAGCAGGTGTGTATTCCCAAGAGAAAATTACTGACGTTTGAAAATCTGGCTACTCTCCATTTCTAGTCGACGATTATGACATATGAATTAATAATTAAAATTTACTTTTCTTCCTTCCCAGATGATTCGCGTAGTAGGCCTCTTGTATACGCGTTTTGTTACAAATCTACACCAGTCAACACTAGGCTGCCTTTAACTGCCATGTAGAATTCCGGTTTCCAACAATATAGGCGTTGTCATCTTTCAATAACGACTTTTTTTTTAAAGACAAACAAACTAATCACAGTGAAATTTAAATTTAGTAGTATTTTCGTATTGTGGACCTGAAGACCTAGATCTCAAGCACAATAGCTTCTACTATAACTATAAGGCATTATATGTGTACAAAGAAATCTTGAAAACAGTCGACTCCCAGGATATGTATCGAACAACGTGGCATAACCAAATAATTTTAATTAACTTATAAATACAAACAAACTATGGAAATCACACCGCAAGAGAAGAATTGTGTATGTGTTCAACAATTTGGTCAAACGACCTTCATCGAGTCGTTTGGCTCAATTGTTCACCAATTTGTGAAGATTAGCTGTTTGTCATAAGTGGTTTCATTTATTCATAATTTAAGATTTTTTTAATATAAAAATGACTTATAATAATAAGTATAATATCATTGAATAATCCTAGTTATTTTGTTCTTTAATTTCTTCAGCACACATATATTGTTATGTATCTGCTTGTTTCATAATTTCCGGTAAAAATTCTTTCCCAGTGACTTCAGTGATATAAGTTCCTTCTTGATTAAAACTTGTTTATTCTTTCTCGTTACAAACTTTGTAATACACTTAATTTCCACAGTCACTTTAAACTTAACAACCTTTATGATACATGCTATAAATCACAGTGATTCACACAGTTTATTTACGGTGCCTACTGTTCACTTGACTCAATTATCTCTATCTTCAATCTATCTGCATATCTATCTACCGCTGGCTTATATACTAAACAAAGAGGGCGTCTAGGAAACACTGGGACATTCGCGAGGTTCCCCGATAAGTCATGATCCTTCTAGAAACTCCAGCGCGCATGCTCCCAGCGTCGCGTGACTTCCGCTGTCGTAACAACATATATAAAATTTTAATACTAGAAATAAACGACCTTAATACACCAGATTTGTTATCAACGTTTCGCTTTACAGCTTACTAAAACACAAACCCTAACTAACAGTACAAAGCTTCAAAAAACAACTGAGGAGACCGGATTTAGAAATAAATAACTACAGTTGGAATCGTGAGTTGGAGGTATTTAATCAGAGATAAAACTAACTGAGCTACCTTACACTAAAACTGGCTCCTTTTTCGAATAATCGTCGTTAAGGTTAAGCTTTTCTGTCCCCTAAACTGTCGCGAACTGCCAAAATGTAAGTACTGCAACAACCGTTAAGATTGTCACATGTATATATATTCTGTATGCGTTCAGTTTATGTTCCTGAAATCCCACGAAACGACGCTAATCCGCGCACCCCGTGGTTCAGAAACATTCTAACCAGTTTTTAACACTGCCTGGTATGGCTTGGTGGTTAGGGCACTCGACTCTTCATCTGTGAGTTGCGGGATCGAACCCAGTATCCGAACCTGCTTACCCTTTCAACCACGTGGGCGTTATAATGTTGCTGTCAATCGCGCTATTCGTTAGTAAAGAGTAGCCCAAAAGCTGCCGATGGGGTGGTATTGAGGAACTGCTTTCCCTCTAGTCTATCACTTCCAAATTATGAACGGCTAGCGCAGATAGCCCTCTAGTGGCTTTACGTGAAATTCGAAACAAATGTTTTTGAACATTCGAGTTTTATGT